GGCAGCAGCGGGGACTGGTGGAGCAGATGTCGGTGCAGCGCGAAGGCGAAGAGCAGGAGCAGGAGCAGCAGCAGGAGCAGATGTCAACGCAGCAAGAGGAGGAGAAGGAGCAGAAGAAGAAACGGCGGAGGCACAGGCGTAGGCTTCGCCAGGAGCAGCAGTACAAGCGCGACCTGAAGCTTAGGTTCCTGCGAAACGTCGCCGAGACAAGCAGAGAATTGTCGGTGTCCGTGCCCGCGATGCACCTAGCCAGGTGGTGCTCTCTACGACCATCGTCCCGTGCCTTGCGTCGAGGACAGGTTTTGAACGAGGGGGGGTTCGGGGCGGTTACCGTGGTGCAGCACGAAGCGCACGGGTCGTTCGCCCTAAAGGAAGTGTCATCGGTGAGTTGCTCTGTTGCTGTGTGCCAACTGGCTTATCGGTCGAGACGGGTGGAAAGTCCCAAGAATTGTGTTAAGAGGAGTCCCTTTTGAAAACGGTGGGAGTTTGACAAGGTCATGGTGCGCGGAAAGACGCACGGAAAATTTTTCTACTCACTGCACTCTTCCGGCCTTCGTCCGCCCCGCGGAATGTTTTGCATCAGTTTAGTCCACTGTGACCCCTCGAAGTGGTGGGCAACCTCCGAGTATGTTTCTCAATGCTGTTCCCCTCCTTTGTGCTATTTTTTTAATCACGACGAACACCACGTTTATAATAAAATTGCTAACGCTGGCAATGCGCGTTCATTCTCTTGGCATGCCACGGATGGCAGGACGCTGCCAAGGAAGTGAGATGGGCTGCTATGCAGGAGGTTCATATCCTTATCGAGTGAGTTGCATGGGTCTCGTACGCTCAGGTCATTGCTCGAGTGTGACAGCAGTAGTATAGTGTTCTGTGTTGGTTTGGTTCGAACGTGTGTTTCGTACTTGTTGAGTATCCTCAACGCCTTATTCATCGTAGGATTTCAGCTTTCTCGTTTTCGACCCCGTCCATTGCACTATAGGAGTTTGATATTCTTAAAAACATTAAACAAAAGCTCCTGTGACACGCCCCTCTACGTTCAAGGCATTGACCGCGACCCCGCCGACTTGTACTTCGTGAACCATCCGACTCGTACATTCCACTACAGTGGCATTCATTCTGCTGGTCCTGTGCCACCCCTGCCTCTCCCTGGCAGTAGCTTCCACCCCCATCTGTAACGTTTCTGCTGAAGATCAAGCCGCCGTCAACTGGATTGTGGCTTTTGTTCTGCCTCTTCTCTTTCCTCGTCAGACTAAGTAGTCGTTTCCAATCCCATTTCCTTGCCATATCTCTCTGTTCACCAGCCTGATGGGCCACGACAATATAATCAGCCTCAAGGGCTTTGATCTCACGATTCGGTCAATGCCGATCTTAATGGAACTGGCCACCTGCGACGCCTTTGATGTGCTGGAGGGGGGATTCTTTTACTCCGTGCTGCAGAAGGCCAGGCAAGTTGACAGGATTAGAAACTAAGACCTGCACCCCTCTATCATGTCGTTTCTACCAGTGTTAAAAGGTGCACGCAATTAGCATTACAATTTAAATACGTGGGTGCTGAACTGCCGTCCTCGAGGAAGAACGGCGAGTGGAACATTCTTCGTGCGTACGATGGTTCGATTCATTCACCTGTTACAAGAGCGCTACGTAAAGCTCCCCAACATCCCGTCCCTATGTCTCCTGTGTGATCCCGGGTGGTTCGTCGGACAACTTCAGCGAAACGTGTAAGGCTCGACATCCGGAACGATGTATTTTTATATCAAGCACATACACATCAACCATGATGAAGCACAAAACCTGAAGCCGTTTACCGATTTCCTCCCGTTTTCCCTTTGACTCCTCCTCCTCCCGTCATCTGCGGACAGGATTATTCGGGATGGTGTATGCGGGCTCATCCACATCCACAGCTTCGACTTGGTGCACGTCGACTTCAAGCCCGAGAATCTGTTAGTGGTGAAGACCGGAAGAGAGCAGCGGGGCAAAGTCACCGACTTCGGCCTTTCGCGATGTGAGGGGATGCACTCCGTTCTCCCCTCCCGCTTTGTGCCCGTGTATGCCGGGGTGTTTGTCTCTCTAACTGTCTCTGTTTCCCACTCTCCCCCCCTCATAAATCCTCTCTCCTTCCTTCCCCCAATCTTAACCTTACTCTACTATGTGCATATGTCCATCCTGTTTTTCTTTCTCGGTGCGCCCTGCGGTCCATGCCATTCCCATGCCATTGTCCATGCGGTTGTTCTTCCTCACGCGTGACGAGGCCCGGCTGGGCTACACTCTATTTATCTATCCGTTCATCTCGCCACCGATACGCGGTGATTCCGATGGCCGATGTTTCATAGGCGCTTTTCGGAGATGAAACCTCGGCATTCAGTCTGCATCGTCACGCTCTCAACTTCCAATACGGCACCTTTGTAAGCCTCTCACCTTTTTCGTGGCCGCAACGCATGTACAATACTTCGTGGCACCAACACCATCAACAATGCAACCGACGACGACGATGATGCTAACGCCACCGCCAACAGCAAGAGGCACGATGAGGCCGTCCATGACCGGGACGGCGGCGTACATGCCGCCTAAGAACCTAACAACGGACATGCCGGCCGACTTCGATCAGGACGCCTTCTCCGCCGCGGTGGTGACTCTCCTGATGCTGCTGAAGCCTACCATTCAGGCGAACAACATCTTCGCGCTCAACGTAAGGGAATGAAGGAACAAGTTGTCATCACGTCATCTTTGTTACCGCAGAGTACACATCGTGATCGTCTAGCGCGCTTTCGCCGCCTCGTGATCCTCTACAGTGACTCTCAGACTGAAAACTCCCTTCCGGCGGGTCAAGTTTGAACGGAGTACTCCATCTCTTGGGGGGATCAACACTTCAAGCGCGGTAACTTCGGTATACTCTCCATGATTGCTGTTTCTCCGCATGTAATGAAAAATTTCCAAGCTCACAACATACGGTGATTTTGACCTGAGTCTCCACAGAAAGCGAGCTTCGGCCGATAATCATTTGGCATGGCCAACGCCCGCCACTGGAGGTCTCACCAAACCTACTACTTAGGTCAAACGCCCGCCACTGGGTTGTACTGATCTACAACTACATCAGCGGCGAAACGTTTCATTTTCTACTCTTGACAGCCATCACCATCACAAGAAAATCATTTGAACATGTTTGCGTTTCTCGCCATGTCGTCGCAAACGCTTGAAGTCACTTCTGACGGACGAAGAGGCGGAGCGCGCCATGCTGATCGACCAACGCGATGAAGCTGCACAGATCGCCTTCCAGGTGAGGGGCGAAGGAGCGGCGATAAGGCCCAGGTTGAAAATTGTTGCGATTTGTTTTTCCACGTGTGTTACCGCGATAATACTCGACGTTCGCACCACCAGGAGACTATACTAATGAGTATTGAAAACGTTATCAGTATGTAGAACAAGCTCTGTGAGCACACGAATAGAGGACAAGTTAGCGTGGAATCAAGACGATCGAAATATATATATATATGTGTTCAAAGCTTGAACTTAACAATAAATACACAAGGCTGAACGACGGTGTACATTTTCTTGGATTCTTAGCGTAGAATGATGTGTGTTGGTCTTCGCTTTGACAGCCTACAACAATTGTTGTACGCCCACTTAACGAAGGGTGACGAGAAAACCACCGTATACACGAGCCCTCGCCTTCGATCCTTCGACGCTCGGGTTGAACTGCGCCGTCCGCTCTGCTGACTACTGTATACACCTCGTTTGAACACTGCGCGGGGGTTGCGAAGAGTGAAGTCATGAAGAGAACGTTAGCCGATGGATCCTTCGAGAGGAACGTCCTCGTGCCAAATAATCTACACCACGCGGTATCCTCGCCGGAGCAGGTATGCATGCCGCGTCCGTCTTTTAGAACCTCTTGTTTCGGGTTAGCCTCGCGGCCTGTTTTCCTGCGTGAAGAAATCACAGAGAATGTACATATTATTGCGTGGGATGGGGTCAAGTCGTATGTTGGAAATATTTGGACGCTCAAATTCATAGCAGCTTCCATGTCCGAGAGCGGTGACGCGTTCTGTAAGGGAGGGGGAGAGAAGACGGGAGAGGGGGATGCACAATAATATCAGGGAGGAGAGGACGACAAAGTCGCTCTCCATCCAGCTGCAACGCTGTATCGTTTTCACACCATGCCTTGTTGGACAACGCCAATGATTCAGCCGTCGGGGATTTGACTTGGAATCTCTTCCTTGCGAGGAGATAGTGGACCTACTAGTACAGTAGAGCGCGATTCCCTGCATGCTGGTTGTCGACCGTTCTCAGCCTTCCGCCGCTATTGGAATGTGGTGGACTCTTCTGCAATCCAACGCTCTGTACATCCCGGACATAAGCGCTTTATGCATACCGTACCTGTACCAGTTGTTTCAACGCTTGTGGCCGGGCGTTCGGCAGGTATGCCGGTGGCTGAAAGATGGTCTCTCTGTGGACCCCTCCAAACCCCCGAGCACGAAGGATCTTTTCGACAACCTCAACGACTTGATCGAGCAATTGACCGGAAACTGAACGCGGGCGTACTTGCACGGCGTTTGTCTACGTACGCGCTGGGAGATGCGCCGTTATCATATGTTGTCTTCCTTGGCCACGCACGGCAATATGTAAACGCATTGGCCATGGGCGTTGCTGGACAAATCATGGTGGTCGTGGCTCGATGAAGGAGGGACGACGACGAATGATGTGGCGGGTCAAGGGGGAATGCACGACGAGAACGGCGTGTGCTTGTGTCATTGCTATCATTGTGTGTGAGCTTTTCGCGTTCAAGTGGTTGCGCTTCCGAGGCTGTGCATGCACTCCTGGCGCTTGGTCCAAAAGATAGTGATTTGTTTTCGTTCACTGCTCACGTCGCCATTGAGAGAAGTAGGGGCCATTGGGTACCACCAGAAGAGAGGAGAGTGACTGCAGCGGGTCTGGTGCTTGACGGTGGGCCTGCAACAGGGACTGTTGGACCAAGCCCCTACACTGTAGCGTGCTATGAACACAATTCGGAAAACGGCGATGTTTTCTTCCGCCCCCTGTCTTTATCGTGGGACGTGCTTAGCTGAGAAGAGTTGTTTCAGGAACAAAGGCCAATGAATTCTTGCGATCTGCTGTGAGTACAAGAAGCGGCAGCTGAACTTTCGAAGCCTGAATAAGGCCGTGATGCACGCACGGTCACAGAGTGTTAGCCTCCAGGCACCGGGTTCGTGGTTGGCACAGGGTTCCATGGAATTCAGAGTAAAAAAACGTATGTGTTCGGTTTGATGTCAAGTACGCATAGGTGGGTGGGATGTGACGACATACATACACATGTACATTTATTGATATCGAAGAAATAGGTTGATGTGGAAAAGTGATGTGGAAACATGTTGGAAATTTAGTCTAGCTTTTATCGTGAACGAAGAATGTTCACTTCGTTTCGCGCCCCCCTTGATCGCGGTAGTGGTTGGCCTTCCAGCGACGACTTGACGTCAAGGTAAAGGCTCAACGCTTCTCTGTGTGTATTGGTGCGTGCGTGTTTTCCCGTGAAGGGTGACCGACCACAAAGCCCTAATATGTATAATGGTACACACTTGAAGAATTCTTTCCTTTCGCGGAGTTCATCGCAAGATGATTAGTCTACAAAATCTGTAGTTTGATATTGCTGTGGGCTTGCTCAGGGGCGGGGGTCTAAAGAACAAGAAAGAAAGGTGATGATGGTATGGCTAATATTGTGCGGTAGGTGGTGGGTGGTGTAGCGCGTCTAGTCACTGAAAAATGCAAGACAGAAAAGTATGGTCACGTGTACAGTAGTGCCAGATGTGGAAGAAGCGAACGTGTAGCATACACTACCACTGTACACTAGTTAGGAGTTTTCGGGGCAGACAGGGTCGAATGTTGCGCCCATGCGAAAAGTGTGGATTTCTTGGGCGACGGCCTTGGCAAGCCGGCTCGCAAGGGCTCAACAAGAGACTGGTATGAATCCTTCGGTGTTGTATTCGTGCATGGTCTGAATGAAACGTGTTGGTGCAAGTGTAATGTGCGTGTGGCTCTTCTACATGATGAAGTAGAGCGGTGTCTGGGGTCGGCTGGCGATGCGCATCAAAGGCTTCCAATGATGAAAACAGGGAAAGTGACGGCGAGCCCCACGCTGTAACGGCGGCCGCTTTGCTAAGATGCAGCGTCAGCTGAGCTGGGAGGTTCCTTCTCGACACGATGCCCCTATTCAACGTGGATTGGCGTCAATATCCCCCGTCAACTGTCAGAACGATGGAATTCTCGGAATACGACGAGGCCAAAAGCATTTCTAATGTACTGCTGTAGCCGGCCCGCCAAAATCATACGTTTGCATCGCACTGCTTCAGTCGTTATTGCTTCGTCTCATCCCTTCTGAACGGCAGGATGCACACCTTTTCGTGCATCTGTGGAGGACCAGCCGGGGTCACACAGGAAGAGACTGCCCTTCCTCCCGTGGCTTCTGCCTTCAATCATTCAACGGGAGAAGGACTCAGCAGCTCCGCCTCGCTTTCACGACAATGTCCTTTCTAACCACCGCAACGGAGAGGCTTCAACCCTCGATCCTACGAGAAACTACCAGGTAGTACGTAACATTTTACGAGGGTACTACTTGAACCGCACTCAGCCTAGAGTACACTAAAACACGTGGCTGTCACACCCGGCTGACAACCGCAGCAAGCGAAGACTAGCTATGCATCCGCCCACTTCCTCTCCGCCAACAGCGAGCGCTGTGGACGCAACGGGCCGAAAAACAGACAGGCTTTTTCGTTTCGAGGCCCGCCGATACACCTCTACTCGACAAATGTCAAGGAGGGTAAAACACACACCTCCTCGGCGACACAGCCCTCCAAAATTGCCAAGCAAAACACCACCCACCCCGCGCATGGCACCCGAACGCATAACGAACGCATGCAAGCAGGGTCATGGAGTCCCGCGAACAAGCGAACGCCCGCGCAAAAACTACAAACGCCCGCGACCGCAAATGCTCCAATAAGAACATCCTGAAACGTCAACACATGATTGTTGCCGCTTTCATATCACGCCCCCCGACAATCGATAGTAGGAGGCGTTTGTAATCAACCACCGGACCCCCCTGGTGTCTTGTGTCATCGGCTGTTGGTGGAGGTGAGATCGTACCATGTGACCTCGTCCTTCTTGACGAGGGTCACGATCATCTTGCTCTGTCGGACGGGCGGCACGGCCAACCAAAGATACCAGACAGCAGCGGTGAAACGGCCGAATGCAGAGGGAGGAAGGCAGGGGGTGAAGCGCCTCTCTGCAGAAACAAGGGAAAGAGGCAGCGTGTTGAACGTTTTCCCCCCGCCCAAGGTATTTCTGATTTGGCACAGCAAACCCAAGGATAATGACCAGCTGGTTCGTCCTCGTGACACGCAGCCTGGGCCTGCGAAAACCCGGCATATCGCTCCGTCCCGGCATTGTAGGGATGCGGGGTCAACGGTCTAACGACTACGGCATGCGTTTACACAAGCAACCCCACGCCCCCCAGATTCTCCACAACAAACCCAGGCCCAATGGGGGGGGG